ACTGAGTGGCCAGATTATTATGACCACCCCATCAGTACTTCGTTGGGCCACCTTTTGCCTTCAATACTGTGGCGATTCTTCTTGGCATTGACTCCACGAGATGTTGAAAGGTGATGTGAGGAATCTGACACCATGTCTGATGAATAGCACTGTCCAGTTCTGTGAGATTTGATGGTTGTGGAACCAGCTGCCTGATGGCTCTTTTAACTTCGTCCCACAAATGCTCAATTGGATTGAGATCTGGTGATTGTGGGGGCCACCTAAGCAAGGTAAAGTCTCCCTCATGTTCTTGAAACCACTCCTGCACAATACGAGCACCGTGGCATGGCGCATTGTCTTGCTGGAAGAAGCCATCTCCATTGGGATACGCCATCAACATGATAGGATGAACTTGATCAGCAACGATACTTAGGTATGTTGTGCTATTCAGGCATTTATAATGGCTGGCCCTCTAGCAACTTCAGTGCGAAATTATAGCTAATTTGCCTACAAACGTCAGGTGGTCATAATAATCTGGCCACTCAGTGTATATGCCAACAGGAGTGGTTTATATTTTGTACTTTTTTGTGCTGTCTTTTCTAATATTTCCCCCAATTAAATATTATTGAAATAAACAACATAACTAATGGTTTAAAAACATCACGGACATTTCTCCAAGTCAGGACACAGGCTGTAGGCTGTTTCCAGGGTGTCACTGACACCTGCCCAGCCAGGCGGGAGGGGCAGCGGGCAGAGGGGCGAGGCTGGGGACCTGGGGCGACAAGGAGATGGGGCTGCCTTGCCCTCTGTGGTTGGCCTAGGGACCGACTGGGCGGGACTCTGCTTGGGGCCAGGCTGTTGGGGGTGGGCTGCCTCCTGGACTCCGGTGGTCTCCCCCAGGGCACCCACTCCCGTCTGTCTGGCCTGCAGGAGCTGGGGCTCTCCTTTGGAGAATGCAGCGCGGCCCTGGGTCACAACATCCTGGAGCCCATGATGAACCTGGCCAGGTGAGTGCCCCGCTTCCCACCCTGAACCCTGGGCAGCCCTCAGCCAGCTTGGGCGGGAAGCACCTCGGAAACCACAGGGCTCCCCAGTGTGGAGAGAGCGCTGTGTGGAGAGAGCGCTGTGTGGAGAGAGCGCTGTGTGGAGAGCCGCCAGCTCTACCAGCCCACTCGCTGCGTCACCTCCCAGAGCCACATCTGGTCTCTGAGCCTCAGTTTACTCATTGGCAAAGTGTTCCCAACCTTCTAGTGACTCCCACTGGATTTAGAATACAATGCCATGCCTCACGGCATCCTGCATTGTCTCCAGGGCCATCTCCCTGCACACACACACACACACACACACACACACACACACAAGCTTCAGCCCCTCAGGGGGCCCTCCCTGACCACCCCCTCCCACCACTATGCTGGACTCAGGTCTCTGTCCTTCAAAGCCCTTGGGGACAAATTAGAATTACACTGCATTTGTCTGTTTTCTCTTGCCCCGCTGCCTCCTCCCGCCCCAGGCTATAGATCCTGGAGGGCATGGCTTTGTCTATTTTGTTTAGCCCCGCCCCCCACACCTGGGACCTGGCAAATACTGGGTGCTCGATAAATGAAAAAAGGAGTCAGCGGCAGGAGTATCAGACCAGGTGATCTCCAAGCCCCTTCTCTGACAAAGTGTCTACAGCGACTTGCTAATCTGTAACCCGGGCAGCCATGATGCCCTCCGGCCAGAAACCGCGCCATGGCTTCCCTTTGCTCTAGGATGGCAGCCGGTTGCGTCCAGGCCCACAGAACCCGAGCCCGGCTGCCTCCGAGGCTTCCTCTGGCCATTCAGTCCTCAGCTCTGGGATTTAGCAAAGGGCCCAGCACATAGCAAATATATATTGCGTTGTAGTTTTTAAAATATATTTTTATTGGTTTCAGAGAGGAAGGGAGAGGGAGAGAGAGACAGAAACATCAATGATGAGAGAGAATCATTGATCGGCCGTAAACATATTATGAATGAATGAATGAGTGAATGAACATGAATGGGCATTTTTTGCTTTCTTAACCCCCAAGTTCTCTCTTAACACGGAGCCTTTGCCCTCTCCCCGGATTCTACCCCCTTTTCTGCTGGCAAACCTTTGTCCACTGCTGCGTCTCAGCCGGACACTGCCTCCTTCCTCCCTACTCCCCCGGGACCTGCTGTGAAGTCCCTCTGGGCACTTCGCTATCTGGGTCCTGATCCAGCGGTCTCCTCCACCTCCCCCACTACCCAAGGCCAGGACACGCTGGCGTCACTGTCACAGTCGGAGTCCCTGGCACAGAGCCCGGCACGTAGCAGGCTGGAAAGAACGCCAGAAATGAGACGGAACCCACCGTCTCCGTGCCCCGTGTTTCTGGTGCCTGTGGCATGTAGGGCAGGGGCAGAGCCGGGAGGAGAGAGGCAGCTCAGGGGCCCAGCTCTCCGGTCCCCCAGCTGCACCCACGGGCCCCTCCTGCTGCCCCGGGAGCTGAGAGAGAGGACTGATGCCTGGGGGTGGTCGTGCAGGTCACTCAAGAGGCAAGAAGACCTCCTGAAGGGCTCACTGGTGGAGGTGGCCCCGGAGAGGCCGCCGAAGAAAGCTGGCTGCTGCTCCTGACCAGCTGGCCCGGCTGGGGGGGCGGCCCCCCTCGGGCTCCCTGTCCCGCCTGCCTGGACAGCAACACCGGAGGCCCAGCTCGGAAGATCCAGAGAATCCTCCCGGGTCAGGGTTCGGATCCCAGGGCCAGGGCTGCACTAGCGCTGCCCTTCGCTCCCGGAAGAAGGACTTTGCTGAGCAAATAACCTTGGGGTGGGGGACTCTTTAAAGAAAGGAAAAGTCTAGATCAGTGGTCGGCAAACTCATTAGTCAACAGAGCCAAATATCAACAGTACAACGATTGAAATTTCTTTTGAGAGCCAAATTTTTTAAACTTAAACTATATAGGTAGGTACATTGTTATTAACTTAATTAGGGTACTCCTAAGGCTTAGGAAGAGCCACACTCAAGGGGCCAAAGAGCCGCATGTGGCTCGCGAGCCGCAGTTTGCCTCCACGGGTCTAGAGAAACAGCTTAAGGAAAATACACCACAATATTAGCCACCCATCTCTGGGCAGTAAAATTATAGGGTGAATGTGGGGGCGGTATCTTCCTTTTATACGTGTTTGTCGTTTTGGATCTTGTACGGTGACTGGGTGTTCCTATATAGTCAGAAATAAAAATGCATGTTGAGGGGGGTAAGAAACTGTTCAAGGGTGTTGCTGTGGTGCTGATTCCTAACCGGCATGGCCCGTTAACGACAAAGTCCTCTGCTCGTTAAAGCCGGTCCCTGTTCCGCGCCGGGCAAGGCCGTGACCTTGTCGCGCTCACGAAGCTGTTTGCAGGCTTGGCGTTTCCTCCGAGAATGGATTCCTGGGAAGAGCAATGTCCTCATGGTCCCTGATAGCCCCCCCGCCCCCCGCCTTTTCCCTGAGCCCCAGCCCTTTCCACAAGATCTGCCCCTAAGGGCTCACATTTGGGATCCTGCCCCTGCCCCAAGGCCAGGTGCCCCCTGGTGCAGCCTTCTGCCCTGAGGCCTCAACCTCTGGATGCCCCGGAGGCACAGCTGGGGTGTGAGGGGGGCCAGGGAGCAGCTGGGGAGACTGGCTTGATTGGGTAGAGCGTCTGTGGGAGTTCCCACAGTCTCCCCACTGGCCCCCTGGCAGGGTCTTTGCCCGGGTTGGATATCTCCTGCCATCTGCTTGCTGCCGCTGTTCTGTCTCCCCCGCCTGGTAACCACAGCAATGCTCACGGCGCTGCGGGCAGCAGGCAGGGCACCGAGCTGGTACTTTGCGATCAGTCGGGTGAATTCCTCAGCTGAATTAGAGGAAACCCCAGTTTCGCAGAGAGACAAGCACAGACACTTCGAGAGACAGCGGCACAGAGAGAGGAGAAAGCGGCGGCGCCTTCCTGCTGTTTAATCACCGTCCCCGCCTGCCCCGTCCTGCTGCTCCATTCTGAAAGGGAGGCCTCAGGTCAGCCACTGGAGGCACAGAAGCTGAAGCCAGGTGACACTTGGCAAGAGGCGAGGTGGAGAAATTCAGGCATCAGAAGCCGCCAAGCTTGGACCAGATGCCCTCGAGGGACCTCTTTCGACCTCTAGCCTCTATGCAGGCTGATTCTGTGGCCCAGCCTGTTCTGTCACCGGCCCTCGCTGATCCTCTCCCACCCACAGTGTCCACCCCCCCCCGGG